AAATCAGCAATCATCCAATCAATAATCTATAAAAAACGAAATAAAAAGGCAAGCAGTAATCCTCAGCGCACTAAAGCACAAAGGTGTGCAAAACACTGATAGTAATTTCCAAAGTATAGCTTGTCAAAGTGTAAATTAAATTTTCATTTTTAGCAGAGATTTTAAACAATTTAACCACAAAATGTTGGGTTTGGCGTTTTTTAGACAGAGGAATCCACATCTGCTATTACTTAGCTTGTAGTTCCAAGGCGCTAGCTGCAATAGTCCTGAGCCATTTAAAACATCAGAACTTTTTTTAATTTTAAATTGTCGCTTTTTTTGGTAATATTTCGTTTTCCATTCTTCGCAAACAAAAACATTGTTCTTGATTCAAGTCGATCGCTCCCACCGTTTTCGAGATATTTTACGTTGAAATATCTATTGATTTTTTGAACTACTCAAATTAGGTCCCTTCCTCGTAAATTTTGACATTTTTAAAGTGGGCCATGGACAGAAATTGTTTTACTGTCCGTTTGGTGTCAGTAAAGTGCTAAAATAAATGTTTTAGGCATCCGAAACAACAATTAATTTTTTTCAATTCGCCAAGCTGTTATTAGAAGTGTTAATAAGTGTTTTGAAGTCAGATGAGGATCAGGTGATAGTTCAGTTTGAATAATTATTCTCTAAAATAATTTTCAGACGTCACTATATATACGAAAAAAATATAACACAATTTAGAAGAGCTGGGATCTGGAACCTCGACAGATACATTTGAATTAATCTATAAAAGTAAATTAAAAAGCAGAGATAATAATCACACGTATTCAACTCCAGTGTACTACCATGCACGCTTAAAAAAATATTAATAAAAATTTAAGAATTTTTGAACAAAACGATATATTGCAAAGATACATAAAAACCAATTAATAGTCGTGTTAAAAAACTATTTAAAATGTGTTCAATTTTCATATGCCATTTTTTGGTTGTATTAATTTTCAAATCTGAATGTTGTTTCATAAATAATAAGAAAACTCAGAAGAAAATAATAGAAATTTCATCTCCTTATTCAAGAAGTCACTGAATATTCTCATTAAGCAGTTGCGTACTTTTCCACGGAAAATCTTGTTAGAATTGAAATAAATTTTTACTTATAGAACAACATAGTTTTAGAAGCGAAAATTGCTAAAAGAAGACCTGCCTAAAATCTTCTAATACCAGAATGGCAATTTTTTAGTAATTACAAATCTGTACATAATGTGGAACAAGACAAAGTTGAATTTGCTATTTTACGAGTTTTGGTAATTGAATGGAAAATATTCCATAAAAGCTTCGGTAGCTAGTTAATAAGCGCACTTTTAAAACTGAAGCGACAATTGAATAAAGTTTATTTCAAAACACAACTTTCTGTAATTGCTACCATTACATGAAAATCGCGCAAAAGAATTAATCAAAGTTCAAAAAACGCAATTCCATTGAATCTATATTTCTAGATCATCTCGACAATGGAACGAATATGCGGTTCTCCACTAATGGTGAACGTTCGAGAAACCTACGTATAGGGTATCCCAAATAAAGGAGATCCAAATGAATGAAGGAATCTGATGTACATAAATAAATCTATATGT